TCTCACCACTGGCCTTTTCTCTTAGTAGCTTCTTACTAGGACTCCTAGAGAATCTTGACTTCTTCTGCGTTCAACCTCCAAACCCTCACAGGGGAGGAGACCTTTGGCACTCTGGGCCTCAGTATGGGAACTAATCAGCGTCCCTGAGACCCAGAGCCCGTGTCCTGTCAGCCTGGCTGTTGAGCCTGCCACCGGGGGCCTTGCCTCCACCTTAATTATCAGTGTGCTACATTAATCGGAGTCTTTTGCTAAATGATTAACATATTTCTGAACCCATTAAGAGAGGTTATGACAGAGAGAGGCAGGCAGCTGTCTCGAGCAATTACTGTGTCCGCCCAGCAGTCCCTCTGCCAGGCCCAGCAGGAGGGGAGAGTATGACTGTAGTGCAGGGGAGCACAGTTATGGTGAAAAGGATAGGGACAGAAGGATTTTGGGGGCAGGAGGTGGGAGGAATATTTGAGCAAAGAAACCCTATTCCCTGCCTTCTTCTGGGCATATAGAAACGAGATGTAGATCTTTAGAGCCAAACAGAATATTAGGGACTGTCTAGTCTAATCTTACCATTTGATTGTTGAGGAAACTGAGACTCAGAGGGAGAAAGTGACTTGTCTAAGATTACACAGTGAATTAGTAACAAAGCTGGGACTTGAGCCTAGGTCTCCTGACTTCCAGTCAAGGATTATTTCCAAAGCACTCACAGTGCCTGGCACATAGTAGGTGCTTGATAAATGCTTATTAATTGATTGATATCTCTGACTGTATTCAATTAATTAACAAGCCTATTGGCCTGCTGTGAGCCAGGCTTTGAGCTTGGCAATGGGGTTACAAAGACAAAATTTAAAATAATTCTTACCCTGAAGGAGCTTACATTCTATGGAGTAGTGGGAGACAACGTGTGTATGTGTAAATATAAACAGATGTAGGGGTGTGGCCCTGTTAGACATTAGCAAAACTGAAGGTCAGAATGGACAAAGATAGAGTGAAATGTAAAAGGGAAGGCCTTTCAGATGTGACAGAAGCATCCCAACCCTTGGCTTGAATAGCTCAACTGCCTATGAAAAGGAGAGAAAAGACAATGAACTTGCTATGGGGCACAGTCTGCCTTCATATTTTTTTATTAATTTATTTTGATTTATCAACAATCACTTCCATAAGCTTTTGAGTTTAAATTTTTCTCCCCTTCCCTCTCCCCTACCTCCCCAAGATGGCACACAATCTGATATAGGCTATACATATACATTCCTATTAAACATATTTTCACATTAGTGATGTTGTAAGGAAGAATTAGAACCAATAAGAGGAACCACAAGAAAGAGACAACAAAGCAAAACAGAAGAAAAAATAGCAAATAGTATGTTTTGATCTGCATTCTAACCCTATAGTTCTTTCTTTGGATGTGAATAGAATTTTCCATCATAAGACTTTTGGAAATGTCTTAGATCCTTGCATTGCTGAGAAGAGCTGAGTCTATTAAAGTTAGTCATCACACAACATGACAGTTACTGTGTACAACGTTCTTCTGGTTCTGCTCACTTCACTCAGCACCAGTCCATACAAGTCTTTCCAGGTTTTTCAGAAGTCCACCTGCTCATCGTTTCTTAATAGTATGATAGTATTCCAATACATTTATATCCCACAACTTGTTCATCCATTCCCCAGTTGATGGGCATGCCCTCAATTTCCAATTCTTTGCCACCAAAAAAGAGATGCCATAAATATTTTTGTACATGTGAGTCCTTTTCCCATTTTTATGATGTCTTTGGGATACAGCCCTAGAAGTGCTATTGCTGGGTCAAACAAAGGGTATGCACATGTTTATAGCCCTTTGGGCATAGCTCCAAATTGCTCTCCAAAATGGATGGATCATTTCACAACTCCACCAACAATGCATTACTGTTCCAATTTTCCCACATCTTCTCCAACATTTATAATTTTCCTGTTTTGTCATGTTGGCCAATCTGATAGGTGTGATGTGGTACCTCAGGGTTGTTTTGATTTGTATTTCTTTAATCAATAGTGATTTAGAGCATTTTTTCAAATGACTATAGATGGCTTTAATTTCTTCATTTGAAAACTGCCTGTTCATATCCTTTGACCATTTATCAGTTGGGGAATGACTGTATTCTTACAGATTTGACTTAGTTCTCTATATATTTTAGAAATGAGGGTTGTAAAAATTCTTTCCCAGTTTTCTGCTTCCCTCCTAATCTTGGTTGCATTGGGTTTGTTTATGCAAAAAACTTTTTGATTTAATGTGATCAAAATTATCCATTTTATATTTCATAATGTTCTCTATCTCCTGTTTGGTTATGAATTCTTCTGTTCTCCATAAATCTGATAGGTGAACTATTCCTTGCTCTCCCAGTTTGCTTACAATATTAGCCTTTATATCTAAATCATGAACCCGTTTTGAATATGTTTGGGTATATGTACCTTCATATTTTTGTTCCTAGATACTAATCTGCATAAGACCCCAAGAGGAATCTGGGAAATCTAACTGGTTGGTCACTATAAGTTAGGGTAGGTTTCTTTAGTGAGGGAACCATACTCTGAATGGGAGAGAAATTGTCAAATAGGAGAGGTTGCCACGTGCATAGAAGAGCCGTGGCCCTCAGGGAATCAAAGAGGAGAGATGCCTGCCAATCCTATGTTGTGAGTCACTGCCCTTGTTGAAAGAGCTGAAAAGATCCCAGTAATATCCAGCTCAGTCAGAAGCTAGAAGTGGAAGAAAATGCAGCTGCCCATGGAAGAGTGAGCCCAGGGAGTTCAGTAAATATGCCCTGTCCTGTGAAGAGCCCAGAGATTAAGCAACTTTCCTGGCCCAGTCTGGCCACTTGACCTATCTAGCTGAAGCTCTGTGCTCTGTAATGAACAAGCCCAGTTCAGCTTCTGGTCTATTCGAAGCCCCATTCCCCACAAGCAGCCAACCCAGCCTAAGAGTGAAGCCCACTGATTCCTGTACCACCATGACTTCATGAGGATTCTCCTAAGTACGACAAGACATTGAAGAACTGCTCTTAAGAGATGTGAGTTGCCTTGACCACATATATTTTCTCCATGTTGAAATTTAGGCTCTCTGTTTTCTCTGACTCTGTGTGTCTTTGTGGGAAAGGGTGGCTCAGGTTTCTAGGGGGAAATGCTTTTTTACTTTCATTCTAATTCCATTTTATTAAATGTCTAATGTAAGCACTTAACTGAATATACTGGTCGATTGTTAATAGGAAGCACACAGGTGGGGGCTCATGAACTATAGTGTTAGGAATAGTAACTCACGGGATTATCCTTAGAACTTGAGGTAGCAGAATGCTCTGTGGGGCTCCAACCCCATCTTGTGAATTCAAGTCCAGATTGGGTGAGTGATCCTGGAAGAGCTACACAAAATACATTCAAAAATATTAATAATAACAAACATTTATATAGTACTTTAAGGCTGGCAAAGTGCTTTGCGTATGTTTTCTTGTTTGATCCTTACAACAATCCTGTAAGGTAGGTACTCTTGTTAACCTCGTTTTACAGATATGAAAACTGAATGAATGAAAAAGCATTTATTGAGTGTTTATCATCTGCCAAGCACTGTACTTAAGCACAAGCAAAAACAGTTCCTGTCCTCAAGGAACTTACAGTCTAGTAAAGGGAGATAATACACAAAAGGGAAATGGTGGCTGGTCTGGCATGCTTCAGTCCAGAAAATGATAGGAATGGTGATCTTGAACCACAGGAGAGTAGATTGATATACCCTTACTGGAAGCAATATCAGAGTTAATAAGTCATGATTTCCAACTGGAAAGGGAGTAAGAAGGATGTGAGAGCACACTCCTGGAGACAAGATGACTGAAGAAAAGGTAACCACAGATATAGGGAATAAAATTAAACATGCCTGGAGCCTGAATAAAATAGTGGGCCAGGTAAGGCACACACCCATCAGGACAGCATGGTGCCAAGTTGGAAACTGAGGCTGAGAAGTATTAAATGTCTTATCCAGGGTCATATATCTTGTAAGTGTCTAAGGCAGGATTAGAACTTGAGCCTTCTTGATGTCAAGTCCAGCCTGCTAACCACTACACCATCCTGCCTTCTCTAAGTACATATAAAGTAACTTCCCTAGCAGCTCAAGTGGGGAAAAAGGAAAGACGTTGTTTTAGGAGATGGTGTTTGAGCTAAAATTTGAAAGGAACTAGGGATTCTCTGAAGTAGAGATAAGGAAAGAGTGAAATCCAGGCAGGGGGATAAGATGTGTAATGTCATATGTGAGGTATAGCAAGAAGACATGGAGTGGGGTGTGCAGAATAAAGTTTGCAAAGGACTTGAAATGCCAAAAGGATGAATTTTAGTTGAGAACAATCTTTCCTGAATGGGAGCTGGTAGAATACAGGGCTTTCCCCCTTTATGTCATCCTGCAGTGGCTGGACTAAGTAAGAATCAGTACTCTGGGCTATGATGCTAGTTCATTATATGCCTCTGGAGTTCCCTTCAGTTTGCCCAAAATTCAAAGAGCTGGAAGGTTGGAAGCCAGCATTCAGGGGATCAGCTCTGCTCCTTGCTCTGGTAGTACCAGTGGGAGGTGCAGGAGGACCCTCAACTGGGAGCTGGGGGCCTGGGGTTCTTATCCCAGCTCTATAGTTGACTTCCAGATGGGGAATAATTGAGCAAGCCATTTCTGCCTCTCTGGACCTCAGTTTCTCTCTTTTTTTTTTTAAAGAGCAGATTGTACCAGCCAGGGGTGGGGGACCTGTGGCCTTGAGGCCACATGTGGCCCTCTAGGTCCTCAAATGAGGCCCATTGACTTAATCAAAACTTCACAGAACAAAGCCTTTTATTAAGGAGTCTGTGAAGTTTGGATTCAAAGGACCACACTTGAGGACCTAGAGGGCCACATGTGGCCTCAAGGCCACATGTTCCCCACTACTGACTCTGTCCTAATCCTCTAAGAACAGGATCAGTAGGGGTTAAGGGATTGGGGCTGGGATCTCAGGGGTCCCCTGAGTAACTGTATATTTCAGATCGAGAGCGCATTGGGCAGGACTCCTCCTATGAGCAGGAAGGGAAGGTGCAGTTTGTGATCGATGCTGTCTATGCCATGGGCCACGCTCTGCACGCTATGCACCGGGACCTGTGCCCTGGCAGGGTGGGGCTCTGCCCCCGCATGGACCCTGTGGACGGTGTGGAGCTGTTGAAGTACATTCGCAATGTGAATTTCTCAGGTGAGGCTGACCTGTTTGGGTTGAGGTTGGGGTTGGCTGGGAGTGGGGGAGTGGGGACCTTTTCAGTGGGGATGGGGCCACCTGGCAGGAGGTGGGACCACAGGTGCAGAGGGCAAGCACTCTTACCTATGCTGAGGAACCATCCAAGAGAGCTCGTGAGGATCCTTAGACCCTATGTACTGAGTGAGGCTGAGGATGTGAGCTCCCCAGCCCCCTCCCTTCTTCCTTAAGCTCCACTGCTCCTCCCCTCCCTCTCTTTCACACACAATTGAATGTCAAGAGGTGTCAAAGCCAATCACTCCAGGTGCCCATCAAATGCAATAAACTGTGAGACAAGATTGGAGCAGCCTAGAGACAGTCATTCAACTCTTCCTTCTAGACCAGGTGCATGCTGGGGTGAACTGGGCTCAGGGGGTGGGGGAAGAGGATTCCATTAAACCTTAATGAAGAGCTCTTTTCAAATGTTCCCTTGCTCCCTTGGATGGTGAGGAGGTTCCCAGTAATGTGTTGCACCCTAGGGTATGGAGAGGCTTCCGGATTTGGTCCTTCCAGTGGGGGGGGGGGAGTTCTCTGTGGTCTGTTCCTTGAAAAGTACTGTGAGGCAGTGCTTCAACAATAGATTTGAAGTCCGGAGACCAGGGTTCAAATCCCATCTTTACTGCTCACTCCCTATGTACCCTTCAGCAAATCACTTCTCCAAGCCTCAGTTTCCTCATCTGTAAAATGAGGGTTGGACTGATGGCCTCTAAAGTTTCTTTTTAAGTTTAGATCTATGACTCTAAGGCCCTAGGAATTCAAGAAGCATGAACCAGTACTCCTCACCGCCCTCCCAACCGAGAATCTAAGGATGGACGCTTACCCAATACTCCTTCCTCCATTCTCAACCTGTATGCCATTGGCCCAGACTCCAACTCTACCCTCCCATTTCCCCAGGCATTGCTGGGACCCCAGTCACCTTCAATGAGAATGGAGATGCCCCTGGTCGCTATGACATCTATCAGTATCAGATCCGGAATGCCACCCCTGAATACAGAGTCATCGGCTCCTGGACAGATCACCTGCACCTCAAAGTAAGAGATATGGGAGGGCCCTGAAGGGTGCCAAGGAGGGACTCAGATGCTCTAGGATGGCCATGGAGGAACAACAGGGTGGGTCCTGGCTCCATAGCTTGGTTGGACGTGAACCGCTATCTCGTCCTTTATACAAGGCCTACCCCAAGAGAAAAATGAAGACCTCCATAGCTGAATCCCAGACGCTTTTTCATGAGCCTTTTAAAAACATTCCTCAATAGATTAGGTACAGCCCTGGATCTACTGGGGAAGCTGCTGCTGGTCCCTCCCTGGGTTTTGTTTCCAGCTTTGCCACCAGCTGGTATAGCTATGAGCAAATCACTTCCCATTTCCAGGCCTCAGTTTCCTTCTTTGTAAAACTGGGGTGGATTGTTATTCAGTCATTTCAATTATGTCTGACTCTTCATGACCCCGTTGGAGGTTTTCTTGGCAGAGATACTGGAATGGATGGCCGTTTCTTTCTCCAGCTCATTTTACAAATGACGAAACTGAGGCAAAGAGGGTAAAGTAACTTACCCAGGGTCACATAGCTAGTTAGTGTCTGAGGCCAGATTTAAACTCAGGAAGATGAATCTTCCTGACTCCAGGCCTGGCACTCTATCCACTGTGCCTCCTAGCTAAAGTCTCTTCTAGCTCTAAGACCCATGATGTGCTAGAGAAATACCCTCCCTGTCTTAGCTGTTACCAGTCCCTTCCTATACTCTGGGGTGTCAAAGTCCTCCACTCTCCTCCTCAGCCTCCCTACTCCTCTTCCTGGTCTGGAGAGAAGGAAGAGCCCTCTTTCACTTAATCCAACCAAAACGTGGTATAGAGTTATAAACAAACCAACCCAGCTACTCAAAACTTTACCAGATAAGTGAGGGAATAAGTAAGTGATGATGATAATAATTGCTGACATTTATACAGGGTGTCTCCAAAAGTCTTAGTGCAGATTTAAACTTAAATCTGCTGTAACACTTTTAGGGACACTCAATATAGTGCTTTTAGGTTTACAAAGTCTTTTTACATACATGATCTCCTTTAATCCTCACGCAGGCCTAGAAGGTACGTGCTTTGATGAGCTATTTACGAAGGGAGAGTGTTATTAATTTCTTCAGCCTGCTCTGTCTGCCCTGAGAAGGGAGGGTGTCAGTCCCCTTAAACTGATTTCCTTCCTTTCCTCCCCTTCCTGTTCTGATTGAGAATGTGGTTAGTGGGAACCTATCACTCATCTCTGACCCCTTTTTGTCGCTGGGTATGTTCAAGTGTTGATCGTTAAAGGTGGTTGGTTCTGGCAGAAATGAAAGGGTTGGAGAAGAAGTCACCTTAGTTCTGGGCCCACCACTCCCCATACCCCATTAGGCCTCAACAGGCTCAGAGAGGTTCTCTTCTTTGACCCCGTTCTGTTGCTGCCATCCCAGCCCTGAGCACCTGCTTTGCTTTGTCTCTCCCACAGGGCCAGCTCTTGGCCAAATTGTGAAGGCAGCAAACTTTTTTTCCTTAAGAATCCCACTCTCATAATTCTGCCTGATCTTCCCTGCCTCTCTATCCTATGTATTCTCCATATGGGGAAAAACAAATAGGCTAATTTGGATAGACATGGGATACGAGTAATGAACCTGGAAAGATAAGCTGGAGTCCCAAACAGGTAACTTGTATTTTATCCTAGAACCAATAGGGAGTCACTGACATTTCTTGAACAGGGGAATGACGCTGTCAGACACATGCTATAGGAATATAAATTTTGTCAGTTGTGTGGAGAATGGATTGGGGAGAGGAGAGGCTGGGTGAAGGGACGCCAGTTAGTTGGTGTTGATGTTGAAGGAGTTCAGCCAAGAGATGATAAGGTAACAAGATGATAAAAGATGATAACTTGAATTAGGTTGGTAGAGTTGTGAGAAGAGAGAAGGGGATGGTTAGGAGAGCTGCTGAGGGAGAAGCAACAGGACTTGTGAACTGGTTGGATAGGAGGAGTGAGTGATAATGAAGAGGTGCAGATGACTTCTAGATCGTGAATCTGTGTGCTGGAAGGACGATGTTACCCCTCACAGAAATTAAGAAGGAGGGTGGTTTTGGAGGGAAGATAATGAGTTTTGTATTGAATACATTGAACGTGAGGTCACTACGGGACATCCAGCTTGAACTGGACCTAGAGTCAGGAAGACCTGAGTTTAAATCTGGCTTCACATGCTAGCTGGGTGACCCTGGGCAAGTCACTTAACCTATGTCTGCCTCAGTTTCCTCAACCATAAAATGGAGATAATAATAGTACCTATGTCTCAAGGTCTTTGGGAGGCTAAGATGAGATAATATTTGTTAAGTGCTTTGTAAACCTTAAAGCACTATATAAATGCTAGATATTTATTGTTATTATTATTCAGGTGGAGATGTAATGTACAGAGAAAAACAAACTAGCTTTAGAGTCAGTACTTGACTGTGACCTCGGACAAGTCTCCTTCTAAATCTGTGATGCTATGACCTCTCTACTCTCTAATAAAGCCTTCTTTTCCCAGTAAAGAATCAGATAAACTCATTCACACTGAAGTTTAAATGACCAACAACTGCTTAGTGTGTGTCTTCTCCCATTCCAGGAAGATTTGTATTTTAAGAAGGGATGAAGTCCCAAATAAATGAAGTTCTTATGGTCAGTTGAAGTTTAGTTTTAGAATTTCAGTTATCAAGGAGCATGGCAGGGATGGTAGAGAGCAGGGAGATATTCCAGTCTTTGGAATCATAGCAGGTCCTCCCTTTTCCAGGGCTATGATAGGGAAGAGGATCAGGGATGGGGTTACCCAACAGGGTTGATGGCAACAGAGAGAGATGAAGAAATGATGGAATAATTGGTGACAGGACCCAGGATTCAGAATTGGGATTCCTGGGTTCTATTCCTCACTTTCCTTATGACTCATTACAAAGCCAAGAGAGATCACTTCAACTCATTGGGTTTCCTTTTCTCTGAGAAATGGGGGCTAAAAAGCGAAATTCAAGATGGGATCTGCCAGATGTTTTGAATTCCTTGGACTGGGCCATCTTCAGTTGTCCTGTTGAATATCTGGCCACTGGACCCAGATGGTTCTAGAGGAGAAAGTGAGTCTGATGACTTTGCCCAACCCTCCCTCACTCAAATCAAAGTCAATTGCAAGTCATGTCACATCTTCCTGATGTCGTGGTCCTCTATGAGAACAAAGGACAAACACTACAATTACTTGGGAAAAGGAACGCTCCCTCTCCCCTAAGTCTGTAGAACTGGTTCTCATCTCAAGATGAGCCATTTTGAAAAGAAAGGAAGTTTAGCTGGGCCTGGAGGAAGTGGGTGTGTATCAACTGAACTGGGAGAGGGCACTATATTGGTAAGATTGGAAGGGCCAGGCCATCACTAGTAGCATGGTAAAATCCCTCCCCACACTTTGTTGCTGTCATTGACTGTCTTTCCCCTCTCCCTTGGCCAATTCTATGTCCTTGGCTTCTCCAGGGACTCCCCCTTATTTTCTCTTCTTGGAGGAAGCAAAATGGTTCAATATTCAACTTGAAGCCAGGAGACCTAGGTTTTAGTTACAACTTTGCCAGTGACTACATGACCTTGGGATGGTTGTTTCATATTCTTGGGCTTTAGTTGCATTATCTGTAAGATAAGGAGAATTATATAAACTGGGGATATTAATGACTGCCTTGCTAGAAGGCTGGAGGCAGGGTTGACCAGATACCCCATTGAATGTCCATGATTCCAAGATCATTGGTGCTACAATTACTACTGTCATGTTCTCCATCCTTTTAAAGATATGGATTTGCAAGATCAGCCCCAAAGAAGCTATTTCCTAGGCACCCTGGCTGGAATTCGGGTAGCCATCACCACGTAGTGATAGTGGTATCCTGTTGTATAACTCCATGACATTTTCAAGTGTGGATAACTGAGAGAAAGCAGGGATATAATGCAAGGTCTAATTAATCATGTTTTCTCCCTAAAAATACATTTAAAAAGCAAAAATACCAATATAGAACAGCTAATTTCTGATGACTATTTGTGAGAAAGAAATTCTCTATCCTTAGAACTTAAAGCCACTAAGTTCTATATTATGATATTCTGTTGTAATAATAATTATAAGAATAACTACTATTTATATAGTACCTACTATGTGCTAGGTACTGTGCTAAGAGCTTTACAATTATTATCTCATTTGATCCTCACAACAACTCTGGGAGGTAAATAAATGATATTACTATCCGAGGTTCACAGATGAGGAAACTGAAGCAAACAGGTTAAATGATTTAACCAGGGTCACACAGTTAGTAAGTATCTGATGCTTGATTTAACTCAAGTCTTCCTGACTCCAGGCCTGGTGCTGTATCTACTGTATTAACTTGGTAAAGATAACAGGAGTCATACAGCTTGTAAGGGTAAGGATGAATGCAAACACAACTTCAGATTCATAAAATTTTGAGTTCCATTGGTTTAGAAAAAAATTTATTTAGAATTTGTAGACTGCACTTATGCACCATCATTGATGGTGGGAACTCCTGGTGATGAAACTTCCTTTGCCAATGCAAATTAGTACCTGCTTCACAACTTATGTCTTAGAGAACAGCCTGGGACATTGAGAAGTGACTTGTCCAGGGTCACAGTTAGTATATATTATAGACAGGAGTTGAATGCAGGTCTTCCTGGCTGGTTGTCTACCCACTATGCCAGGCTGCTATAGTTTAGAGCAAGGTTTAAAGAAATGCAAACACCTAAGTACAAATCAAATGCCTTCCTGACTAAACTTCAACTGTTGCTTATTTTTGCTTTATACAAATGTGATTATTCCTTACTCTGCTTTAATGGATTGGTAGCATAATATAGTAGAACACTGATCTAGGACTTAGGAGATCTGGGTTCTAGACCTAGCTTTGCCACTTAAGCCTTGATAAGTCCCTTCCCCTCTCTGAATTTTAGTTTTTCTCTCTGTAAGGATGATGGTGTTGGAGTAGATGATCTATGAGATTTTTTCTGGTTATAACATTCTGTATTCTAAGATTTTGTGGTTCTCTGATCCCTGTTGTTGTCAGATGGAGCGCATTCATTGGCCAGGCGGGGGGCAGCAGCTCCCCAGCTCTATCTGCAGCCTACCCTGCCAGCCCGGTGAACGTAAGAAGACAGTGAAGGGCATCCCCTGCTGTTGGCACTGTGAGCCATGCACAGGCTACCAGTATCAGCAAGACCGCTACACCTGCAAGACGTGCCCCTATAACATGCGGCCCACGGAGAACCGCACAGGATGTCAGCCCATTCCCATCATCAAGCTGGAGTGGGGCTCCCCCTGGGCCGTGCTTCCTCTCTTCTTGGCTGTGGTGGGCATCGCGGCCACGCTCTTTGTGGTGGTGACCTTTGTGCGCTACAACGACACGCCCATCGTCAAAGCCTCGGGGCGTGAGCTGAGCTATGTGCTGCTGGCTGGCATCTTCCTTTGCTACGCTACCACTTTCCTCATGATTGCCGAGCCAGACCTGGGCACCTGCTCATTGCGCCGAGTCTTCTTGGGCCTGGGTATGAGTATTAGCTATGCGGCGCTGCTCACCAAGACCAACCGCATCTACCGTATCTTCGAGCAGGGCAAGCGGTCAGTGAGTGCTCCTCGATTCATCAGCCCGGCCTCACAGCTGGCCATCACCTTCAGCCTCATTTCTCTACAGCTGCTGGGCATCTGTGTCTGGTTCGTGGTGGACCCCTCCCATTCAGTGGTTGACTTCCAGGACCAGCGGACACTGGACCCTCGATTTGCCCGGGGGGTCCTCAAATGTGACATCTCAGACCTGTCGCTCATCTGCTTGCTGGGCTATAGTATGCTGCTCATGGTCACCTGCACTGTCTACGCCATCAAGACCCGTGGTGTGCCTGAAACCTTCAACGAGGCCAAGCCCATCGGCTTCACCATGTACACCACATGCATTGTCTGGCTTGCCTTTATCCCCATCTTCTTTGGGACCTCGCAGTCAGCTGATAAGGTGAGCCAGGTGGTTGTGGCCCTCAGGGAGGAGCTGGGGGAGCTGGACACCCTAATGTAGGGTGGGCATGGGCAGCTGAGGGGCCCAGAGAGAAGAGGATCTCCTTCCTTGGCTTTAAGGAGCCATATCTTAGCTTCTCCATCCTGCTTCTCTAACTTAATTTTCTTGTTCACTCCAAGTTTTCTCTTATTCTTTATTCTTTTTTAAAAATGTCTCTTTTATTCTTTTTTTAAATGTCTATTTTATTCTCTGTTTGCATCTGTGTATCTCTTTGCCTCTCATCCTTTCCCTTCTCTATTAGCCTTGGTTTCAACCTCCTAATTTCTTATCTTTCTTTCCTAGTCTCCTTTCCCCTTATTCATCTCTTCACTCACCCTACTCTTTCCTTTCCTTCTTCCTGCTCCCTTCATTTTTCCCCTCTGCCTTTTCTCTCTCTCCTGTCTTCTTTTCTTCCCTTTGTGCCTTCCTTTGTCCATCTCTCTTGTCCCTTCATCCATGTCTTCTCCTTTTATCCTCCCTCCCTCCCTTCCTTCTTTTTTTCCTTCTTTCCCTCCTTCTTTCCTTCCCTCCCTCCCTCTGTTTCTTCTTCTCACCTCCCTCTTTCCATTCATTTCTTTTTCTTTAACACAAAAGAGAACCAGAATTGATTCTCAGTAACACACCTATTGAAATATGGTTTTCTCCTCTGTATGTTTCTTAGGGAAATCCATGGAACAGGGACCAGAGATAAATCTTGGCCTATCTTCCCTGCACCCTCCCTTCTCCCCTTACCTTATGCCATGTCGGGAGTACCAGAGACATCTGTGGGGCTTAACAACTCTGTAAAAAGCTCCCAGAGACCCTGGCCTGCAGTGAGTCATTAAGTGATCCCTTCACTCCAAGGCCATCCCTACCTCAGGAGATTGGCACTGGGAACTGGAATGAGTACAGAGAAATGTAGGGGTGCCAAAGGTGTTTCTGCAGAGCCTTGTTTTGTCAAAAGCAGAAAGATAGGGAGGGTGGATGGAATGTTATTTATGTATTGAGGTCGCCTGGGGCTCATGTCTGGAGCTTCACTGATCTACTTTATTCACGGGACCTTGTTTTTAATGATATCTGTCTGGGTCCTCTCACCATCTATGTAGTAGAGAGAGCTCTGTGTTTAAAGGATCTGAATTCAAATCCTGACTCTGTTACTCACCTTGGATTTTGGACAGTCGCTTGGACTCAGGTTGTCTCACTATAAAATGAAAGGGATTGGATTAGATCATCTCTCAAGCTCTAAATTCTCTGAATGAATACCCCCAGATTTTGCTTTCGTTCTTCCTATTTGCCAGCCAAGGGAGGCTCACTGTCCTACCTCACTACAACAATCCCTTCCATTCTCCCTGTCTCTCCCGAGTGTCAAGATAAAACAGTGAGTATTTTTTAAGTGACTACTGTGTGCTTAGCTCTATGTTATGACTGTGGGACATCCAAAAGAAGTACAAGACACTAACCCATCATCAAGGAATTTATTTTCTATATAAGGAAACAAGACTAGTTTAGTCTGATAAAAGCAGTCCTTCCTAAAATGTGGTGGAACCAGAGAACCATTTAATAAAGTAGATTATTAAATGCTAAATTATGGGGTCCAGAGAGTAAGGGCTGTAGAGTTTTGGGGTGGGGTTGAGATCTGGTAGGGCTCCTTGGAGGAAACCTGGATGTGAGTAAGCTTGATAAAGGATGGGTGGGATTTGGAGAGCTGGAGGTGAGGGTGATGGGCATCCCTGGTTGGGAAATAATGGTATGAGTGAATACAGGAAGGCAAGACCGGACAGAGTATGTTTGGAGGCACCAAAGAAAGTAGTCTGAATGGAGCAGAAGAAGCTCTGTTGAAAAGAGCCCTGGATTTGGGTTGGGAAACGCAGGGTTCTAGTCCTTAACCTGCAACTATCTAACCCTGTCACCTTGGTCCAGTCCTTGCAAATTGAAGGAGTTGGAGCAGATGACCCTGACCGTGGCTGCATTTCTGACAGTTTGATAGGGAGTTGGTGTGGTCCAATAAAATGAAGAGGAAGATGATGATGTGGTACGATCAAACGAAGATGACGCTAGCTAACATACAGTATTTACTATGTGCCAAGTACTGTGATAAGAATGTTATAATTATCTCATTTGATTCACCCCCATAACCTTGCGATGATGATGATGATGATAATAATAATAATGATAATAAACATTTACATAGTACTTACTATGGGCCAGATACTGTGCTAAGAACTTTACAATTATTATCTCATTTGATTCTCCCCATAACCCTATGAAGTGGGTACAATTAATATCCTCATTTTACAGATGATGAAACTGAGACAAACAGAGGTGAAGTGACTTGCCCAGGGTATAGGGACAGGTAATCGATGTACCACCTAGCTACCTTATAATGCCCAAGCTTGGTGCCAAAGAGGGAATAGGACTCCTTGCCTTCTTTGCAGAGGTTGATAATTATTGGTGTAAAACACTGAATTTACTATCAGACTGGGTGTAGTGACCTTTGGCGTACCTACTTTGGGGGCCTTATATGGAGGTCATAATGGCTCAGCCTCTTCACTATCAAAATCCTTCTTCAAAACCTTGGGGTTGTCTGAGTAGAACAGTAGGACCCAAGCTTTGCATCACTTTATCATCAATCAAGGTACCCCCTCTGGTTGGCAACCACCTCTACCTTGGTGGGGTTGATTTAGCATCAAACCCTGACCATGACAAACTTCTAAGTATTGAGGAAAGAGGAAACTACCCTGATGCTGTTTGGTCCACATATATTTCCCTTGTAGGGTCAAATCTCTGGCACCCCTCTCCACGGTAGGATGACTCATCCCAGTAACATCCTTGCCTCTTCCCAGGTTATGAATATCTGCTTTCTTTACCTGTTTCTCACCTCTATGGCTCTGGCCACTTCCTAAGCTCAGCATCTCGCAGGAATTCCCCTTCATCTTCCCATCCTCTGGCACCTTGTCCAGATTTAGCTTATAAACCCTGAACAAAGGGTCCAAAACTCCCAGAAGTCACACCTACTTCCCAAGATTTGTCTTCGAGGACATAGGAAACAAAGTCTAGGAGCATGAACCCTGTGTCCCAAGGGGAGGAACTCCTATTTCCCTAACCAGCACAACCTAATGTCCTTCAGGTCTTCCCCCTCCCCCTATCTCTCTCCTCCCATGGTGAAATGTGCTAAGCAATCTTTTAGGGTGATTGATCTTCACCCTAGCCTGGCGTGCATCATCAGGAGGTGATGATGAAGGGTAGGTTTATTGTTCAGTCTTTTTTTTTTGTTTGTTTCTGGTGAGGCAGTTGGGGTTAAGTGACTTGCCCAGAGTCACACAGCTAGTAAGTGTTATGTGTCTGAGGCTGGATTTGAACTCAGGTCCTCCTGACTCCATGGTCACTACTCTATCCACTGTGCCACCTAGCTGCCCCCCATTCAGTCCCACTCTCCAAGACCCCATTTGGGTTTTTCTTGACAAAAATACTGGAATAGTTTACCATATCCTTTTCCAGCTCATTTTATAGATGAAGAAACTGAGGCAAATAGGGTTCAGTGACTTGCCCAGGGTCACACAGCTGGTAAGTATTTGAGGCCAGATTTGAACTCAGGACTTTTTGACTCCAGGCCCAGAATGATGGGTATTAATATTATTTGAGCTCAGCTACTATAATGAGTATAAGCTATTATTATTGTTAATACTATTATTATATATGTATATATATATATAATATAGATGTGTGTATGTGTATACAATATATAGAGGGAAAAAGAGAGAGAATTGCAGGCTGATTAACAGAAATATGGATTCATTTATGGAAGAATAGGTAGAAATATAGATGATAAGAGAGATAGAGATTATATGGTATATAATATTTAATATAATATTAACATTATTATTATTATCTGGGACCAGTGGAACAAATCTGATACCTCTGACAACCCTCAAGAAGACCGATATCATATCAGCACAAAAAGAATTCAGCATCTCTGCTCCCTTTTTGCTGTCAATCATTTTCATCCCAGGAACAGTGGCCCAGTACCTTCTTTAGTCCCTCTCTTTTCTCCACTAGAGTTAAACATGAAATAAAACAATTTGTTGTTGTCGTCATCATCTTTGGCTTTTCTTGCCCACCTCAATTCATTATGAGCGCTAACACTCCAGATGCTGCTTCTACAGGTCTGCCACCCAATTTCATAAACATTTTCTGTTACCCGCCCTTACGTCCAATATCTTTTGTTCTTTATCTAAAACTTCAGATGGGTGAGTGCCCTGAGCATCCACTTTATTCTCTTTAGAGAGCTCCTTTTCTTCCCTATCAAAATCATTTTTCTTCATGTTTTCAGAATTACCTTCTCAAAAGTTTCTCACACCTCTTAGACTGACTTCTCTTGTAAAATTTTAGTCCATGAACCCCTCCTAACCTGTCTTTCCTCTGAACCCTTTGAAATCTTCTGGCTCCCAGTCTATTCTCTGACCATTGCCCATACTTGGTACGCTCTCCATCCTCCAGTTCGCCTGCTGACCACTCTGGCTTCCTTTAAGTCCCATCTTTTACTGGAAGCCTTTTCCAACCCCCTCTTAATTCCACCGATTTTTCTTTATTAATTATTTCCTGTTTATCCTGCATGTAGTTAGCTTTGTATATATATGTTTGCTTGTTGTCTCCGCCATCAGATTGTAAGTTCCTTGAGGATAGGGATTGTCTTTTACTTCTTTGTGTATCTATAGCACTTAGCACAGTGCCTGGCACATAGTAGGTAGTTCATAAATGTTGATTAATTGATTCTTCCCCAAATCTTGGGAGAATAGCACTCACTATATGTAACGCATTGTACTAAAGCCCTGGGGATAAAAATAAAAAAGAGTCTCTACTCTCAAGGCTCTCTCATGCTGATGGGGGAGCTGACACTCTTGGAAAGTTCCAGCTACAAGTCTGATGGGAAAGTTCCAAGGTCCTTAGGAGGCAGCAGCAAAACAGATGGGAATATGTCTTCT